AACACAACTGTTTCACGGTTGAAACACGAATGGGTTGAAACATGAATAATTTGAATTAATTTATAAAATGAGAAAAATAGCATTATTTTTATATCTGTGACTACCTTGATACATTAAGGTGGGACCTATCACAAAAATTAATATCAAAGTTATGTATATAATTGTATTGTATTGTATTATATGTATATATAATACATAAATTATAAAGGCTAGATTATCTAGAAATAGAGTAGCTGTCCTTTATTAATATTAGTCAACGTTAACATAACAAGTGAAATGAAAATAACAAATTGTGTTAATAACCAGATGATAACAAACCCTCCCCCAAAGGAAGGAACAAACTACTGAATTATACAGTAATCTGGAGCGAGTGAACCTGAAATTTAATTTTGCTGTACAGACTTTATGCTAATTTTCTGGTCGATTATAAGATTAAGTTAAGTGTGAATTACTAGCGTCCATTATTAGGGGGGAGAATTCGTCTCGGTTGCGTAGCTTGTTGTTTATGATATTAGAACGTCCTTTTACTTATGCGAATGGCCAGATAATGTTAATGCTAGCTAATTAATCTTTTATATTTACGAAAATGATAAATTGTATGAATCTTGGTATATCGGTTAATATAGCATGTTTACGAATATATCAGATTTACTTAAACAAACATAAAACGAAAACATATTACGCCAACCCCAAATGATAGTTGGGATAAGGGTATAAAACTGTTACGCACATTAAAATAGGATATTAAACAAAAATAGTCTATTACAAATATTAATGTGAGCAATATTACTAAATCTAAATATTAAAATTTGGTAAAATTGCCCAGAAATCGTTTAATCTTAATTATTTCGTATCTATAAAAAGTATGTTGTGTGTTTTTTAATTAGAACTAAATTATATTTTTTTTATGGGTGAAAATGGCCTGGTAACCCCTGCCTGCGTATCGGTATACACTGGCGGGGCACCAGTGAAAGATGATAGGTGAGAATGAAAAAGCAGGTCAGTTAGGCCATCGTGACGAATTCAACGATTAATAAGTCACGATAGTTTCCAGGGGAAACCGCGTGGAGGTCGACCTGATACGGTATATTGATAATAATGAGGACTAACCTCCCTATTACTAACAATCCCTTCCCCCCACTAAATTATATTAAGAATCCAATGATTCATTAAATAATTATTTTGTTTGAATCCACTGTCTCTTCTCATGTATGTGTGTAGACAGAATAACGGTCAGAGATTGGTAACTAATTGGGAACTTACACTAGCAATAAAAGTTAATCCTCAAATGTTGGCAGTCGCACGCATATAAATGGTAGAATTAAACAAAATAATACTAACCAACTAACCAGTGATATGGATTTCCACAAAATTACATCTAAAATATACTTTATATACAAAAATATTGTATATATTAGTATTAAAGCCTCAAGCCATTAAGCTATAGTTTGTAGATGTAGTAAGCTTGTAATAGAGAATTATCTTTAAAGGGTAGGCGTAAATTATAGTAAGGCGCATTTGTTTTGCTCATCTATGCTTATTACTTCCGGTTCAACTATTTTTTTATATATCGTATCATAAATTTCATTTACGTCATCATTCAATACCTGTCTGTCAGTCTGTCAAAATCATCATTAGTCATTATGACAACTCGTAATTCATTATTTAATAGAATAATAAATAAAGAATATAATTTAAATAGTAAAATATATCTATTATCAATTTGGATATATCGGGTTTTGTCATGAATTTTCTTACGAGACATTTCATAAACTATAGGGTACGGAGGCATAAAATTATAACCCTTAGTGTATTGTAGTAACGTATGAAGGGTATCCTAAGTAACACAATGTACTCTATAACATCTATAGTACGGTATATATACAAGCGTTACTAATTTTTATTAGATAGGTTTTTAGTTTGTTTGTTGTTCTGTTACATAAAAATAATAGGTAGATAAAAGATTCTCTATTATTACATATTCTCTATTATTACATATTGTCTGTTTTTATTAGAATTAATTAAAAATGTAAAAATGCTACCCAACTGTAGATTGCTGTTGTCTAATATTAGGATAAATCAAAAACCAAATAATTTATTAAATGTTTTAACAATTTTCAATTTTTTGACGGCTGATTTTCTGATTTACCAAAAGTTGACTGGAAGAGAATACTATAAAGCACTGAGTCCCCTTTTGTATCAAACATTTTTTATAATGTGGTCAATAAAGAATAAATAAATGTGTAAATGTTTTTATTTATTATTAATTTCATTTAGAGAGCATTTCTATGATAATTTCAGCAAAACTTGTTTATCTTTCCATTAGGTTTTATTAACATAGATTAAAAATATTTTTCTTAAAATTTTTTCATCCAAATTTATGTGATTTCACATTTGAACACTAGTTTAGAAGACTCTCGAGTCAGATCATTTCATTTGTATTTTCTCCCTACATACAACCTTCAAACGATGGAGAAAGCAATTGTTAATAAGGGTCTTACTATCCATATTCATCAGGTCGACCTCCACGTAATTCCTCTTGGAAACCGTCGTAGTTAACAATTGTTGAACTCATGTCGAGGGACCAACTGATCTGCTTTATTCTCATCTTGTCCTTCAGCAAATGTATACCGATAGCGCAGACGGGTACATTTTATTTGTATCCATTAAAAAAAAACTTTCAAACGAACTTTCAAATCAAGACGATCTCATACTACAGTGTCAAGAATGTGGTTTGCCTGCTTTACTCTGCAATCCTCGAATTTTTATCGCATTTATTCTGCTTCTATCCTCTTACTTACATTATACACGCTTACCGTACTAGTCTTGTACTGCGACCTATGATACTTAGCAATGTTATATATGAATAATATATAGCCAGTTGCACTATTATTTGTTACTTACATATTTTACACTAGGTGTCTTTTGTTTATGTGGAATAAAATTAATAGAAAGTGAACAATGTTGCATATTTACTCTTTTTTATTTACTGTTTGAATTCATTCTTATTTTTAGAATTTCAAATGGACGCAGGTTCTAGGAGTTTACTGTGAAATCTAATTTAACGACGAAGAACATTCATTACTTGTCTTATTATCAATATCATCTCAGTCATTATTTGTCCACTGCTGGACATAGGGATTCCCCGTAGATTGCAATAAGGAACAATCCTAAGCCACCTGCATCCACTGACTCGCTGCAATGTATTTGAGGTCGTCCTACACTGAGTTTACCCATACGGTGTCGCTACTCAAGATCCTCTCTTCGCCATCGGTTGAAGATTCTTCGAACTATGTGACCCGTCCATTACCATTTTAGCTTATTTATCCTTCAGGATATGTCGGTTACTATGGTTTTTTTGTGGATATCCTTAGTTTCGAATTCTGTCACGCAAAGAAACTTCGAGTATAGCCTTCTCCATAGCCCGCTGAGTAATTTAAATCATTTGCATGCGGACTATCGTGTAGAACTATGTTTTGATAAGTCATTACTGGTAACTCTACTATATTCATTTCCTAAATTTAATTTCTTTTGTTATTAAAAAAACCGTTTAATCACTTTATTTCTATTGAATTCAAAAATTCATAAATTTCATTGCAGGCAATTTAGAATATACGCGTTTCTCTAATATTGTATCGTTTACCCCCAAATATTTACTAACAACTAATTTCCACTAGTTTATGTTAATTGCTAGGTCGATAATAAGATTAGGTTTGGCGAGAATTTCTACGTTCTTTATTAGGGTGAGAAAAAAGGCCGTCTCGTTATCCGGGCTTGTTGTTTGGGTGATTACATCGGCGGATCCCTTGGCGCGTTTTTCGTGCCTCCAACGGTTGGCGATCCGCAATTTGGGTTTGAAGCACACATCCCACGCCTTACATCACTATTAGGTGTAGATTAAAAACAGAAGATTGGTGGTTAGTACGGTTTTTTAAAGTTTTCTCCGTATTTCTGTACTATATAGCGTTTGATCTAATGTAGTTATAATTTTTATTTATATTTAACAGATTAAATGGATGATTTATAACAAGTACGACTATAAATCCTTTCAATTGTGCTTTCAACTTCTCTTAAAATCTTATAATAAATAATAAATAATCTTATAAATATTCTCCGGAGACATCAACTTTTCTGAAGACTTGAAACAAAAATATTTATCTGAATTTGAAAGAAAGAAAGAAATCTAACTTGTTGAAAATTACAAACAGAAAACCATAACATATACATATATATATACACACATATATATATATATACATATATATATATATATATATATATATATATATATATATATATATATATATATATATATATATATATCTATATCATTTCGGTATTGTTGTGTGGTCCCAGCATAGAATAGGCTACTTCTTTCCTGTGGGTATCATAAGAGGCGCCTAAGAGAATTTAATGGTCAAGGGATAGGCAGCAGCGCCTCTGTTAAAACATTTGCAAAGCTTAATTGCAGTTGCTAACTAGCCTACCAAGTGTGACAACTACTGGCAAAACCCCTCAAAGGGGAGGCTTATGTTTAGTAGTGGACAGTTAACGGCTTATATGATGGTGATGATGATGATGATGATGATATATACATATATTATGTAAATTTATTAAATATTTTATTATAATATATTTATAATATAAAATAAATTTGTAGAGAATATATGGCACTAAGCTCGCCACTTGTACAAAGTTTTATTGTTCAATATAGAATAAATAAATAAAATAAAAATCCCTAGAATCTGTTTCACTGTAATGAAAATCTTTGAACGTGTCGTGATGGAAAAACTCACAATGCAAATGTCTGCCGCTTGACATAACGTATTCAAGGAGTGAAAGTAGTGAATGAAAATAACGACAAGCACTAGACAAGATCGGCCGACTATTTTATCTGTTCATGCGCGTCCAGACTTGCAGAATTAAGCAGTTGTAGCGCTTGCGCGCAGCGCGACGCGGCCGCGGCGGGAGGCGCCGGGCGCCCGTTCCCCGCAGTCGACCGCGCTTGTCCCCGCGATTAGCCGCGCCACCGCGTCCCGGCACCCTCCCCGCGACCCACACGTCAAAATAACAAATTGATTTATACCCAAACACAAACGAACTTAACCGAAAACTTACATGATGTTCAGTGCCTCAACGAACTTCCCGTTCAAGTATCAAGATTAACGAGACGGAGTTTCAACAGTTTATGCATAAGTTGTTTACAACTTTTTAGTGATGTGAATAGATAGGTAGGTATTGTAATTAATTTTTTTTTTCTTTTAGTTAAATAAGTTTGTAAAGAAAAGGAAGACAAGAGGGAAATCTATAATAATTATATACATGTATACATACTAATAGTTTTGAACTTCATTACTTGGAGATGAGAATCTTGGTTCAGTGTGAATAGGATTTGAACGCAAATCTCCCGTTAATTACCACAAGAAATGATCATAAATAATATACTATACGTCATTGTATATCCCATTATAAAGAAAATGCCGAGGGCCATTTAATTCAGGCCAATATATGTGTGGTCTATTTAGGTACTTAGTCATTCCAATGTTTCCAACAAGGCTGTAATCTGTCATGGTAAAGTGACACAGGGATGAATGATCGCAAATATTTCCAGGCCTTTGTGCTAGTTCGGTGTAATTTGCTGAATCACCGTGACAAAAGTGAGTTAATGGATTTCCCTCTTATATCAGCGTAAATAAAATATGAATTTGGGGCTTGAAACAGATATACGACTAAGATGTACAAAATTATATGGTTCCATAAAAGTGAATATCACTACATTAACTATAATAATACAAAAGAAAACTTGACAAATTATTATTATTACTTATATATTCTGTCAAATTTTATAATAAAAAATTTTGCTTCAGAAAGAAAAATGAAAAACACCACAGCTCCATTACTTTGCCTGCCATTATCAATGGGGCTAATTATGAATTGTCGTCCTTCTCTTATTTTGAAGAAAGAATAGAATGACAATTACAGCTGTAACTTAATGATGGATTCCTTCGTTCTCTTATATTATTTCTAAAAAGGATTTCGCGAAACAATAGAGATTTATATTTTAAAATTACGAAAAAGTAATAAATATATATAATAGTTCATCACGATTCACCGTCAATTATATTTTCTGTTATCCTTGTCTACGGTCGACTGGTAGATAACACCATATGGTGTTAAGTTCATCATTTACACTTCCTAGATATATAAAAGTTTAATAACTAATTAAAAAAAATCGTAACTAATTTAGTGTGTATATATCTAGGTGTTACGACTACTTTAATGCGAATGTAATATAATTGGAGGATATGTGGATGATTTCGTTTAAGTAACTCAATGACACTTAAACACCTGAATTGATTTGATTAGAGTTATATTTGATTCTTTCTCCTTTGCCAAGATAAATACAACAGACACCTATATACCCAATTTTTTATCCCTCACCTTGAGTTAACTTCACCTTGACCAAGACTAATCACTTGAGATAATTTATAATCTCGCGCTAAGTATAATGACTTCATTTATCATTATTATCATAAAGTTTTGCGATTATTCAATAATTTTTGTAATGCAGTATTTCATTATGTGTTCAAAATTATCATTGTTATAACCATTACAAATATAACGTTTATTTTTAAAGCATCTACTCAAAACATTTGATATATCTACATACATTATATATATGTATGTAGAGGTAAATGAAAATAATATTAATGAAAAATAACAATGACAGGAAATTTTAAATTATGCGATAATTAAAAAGGTAGGTTTATAAGTTGTTTTTCAATTATAACATAATATTTATCTTGGTATTACTATCTCTGTATATATATATATGGATAGTAATACCAACAAATGCTACTACATAGATTCTTCGTAATAATTTTATTTCGCACCGTACCTTTTGTAGGGGCAATGGAATCTAATTACACTACCTTAACCGAACCGTCACCACTTTCTTCCATTACACAAATTAATTTACACTTGCTAAATATTAAACTCATTTGGGGTAGGTCTTAATTTGTCATTCTGTCTTCATTATAAACTTTACGCCAGTGCTGTGTTAAATTAATTACAATTTAATTAAACTGGTGGTTTTGATCAATGTTCGTTCTCGTGTGTTGTTTTAACTTTAGTTTCCTTTCCTTTAAAATACTCGTCAATACCTTAAAACGTTACACTTTATATTTATCTATGAATAATTCTTGTTTGTACAAGTTCAAAACTTAGTGATGTTTACTCTTATTTGTTGGAAACATCGAAGATAACAAAAAAGTACAATATTATTACATTCTGATATATTTTTCTTCGTATTCATCCGCGGGCTATTCTTTAAGAGAATTTTATATATTTTTATTCACAAAGAGCCGATTTTGATAAACCAACGCATCAATCAAATAATTCTTTGCGGTATAAAGTTATAAGGACGTAGGTATAAGCCGCGTGCTTATCTAAATTCAGAGGCGCGATGTTTGACTCAGAGTCTGCGATAAACATGTCAGCGTAGTCAGCGGTAATTGTGTTTCTATCTCTTTTATCTATAATCACACCAGGTTCTTTGGAGGGTAAGTAGAGGAAATCGAGTATCGAAGGTCTGTATCTATCTTTAACATACAGATCTTGCTTCATCCACTTTAACAACTTATCCCATGCATACATACTGGTTCCAGATACTCTTGACTATTCCAACAGATGGCTTATAAATCAGTTTAATCGCAAAAAGTTAGTATATAGCTTACAGTATACAAACATCCATTTACTTTTACATTAACTAATACGTCTGTTTCGTCAATATTTCTCTGTGAATCTTATTTCCGTAAACGCAAACCAATGTAGCATGCCCCTTCTCATTTTTATACGGACACTTTTGTTCTCGTATTTTGAATGCAATTTTCCTTACCTACTCCGCAAATTTTGCGCAATGTTTTTATTATGACCGCATTTATCCTACTTTAACATACTCAATTTTCGCTACCTTACAAAAATTTGGAGACAACTAAGGAATTGTATATATTACTATTTGCGCTTTCAGATTAAATTGTGGCTGCTAAACAGCTTCGCCATAATACTACTCATTCTATTTCCGTCATATATGTATATTTAGTTAAAAGTAGGTTAAGTACTTTATTAAATTTCCAATACTCTAATTAACACAATATGTCGCTAATTAAATCAATGTAGTATATTTATCAAAGAAATTTCCGACAATTTCAATATAATGAACTTTATAGTTCATATTGTTGATAAAATGTATTTACATTTCTATACGAGTTGTATGTACTTTATAAATTATAATTATTATGTAAGTATTATGATGGATTATATACAGATGTTACTCAGTATTTTAAATAATTTATATATATATATAAATTATGAGAAAGGGATGTAGTCTAAAATTATTTCTGTAGTACTCATTTCATAAGACCAAATATTTGTGTTTAGTTTAGATTTGTGTCACAGGAGTTGCACGAAAGTATTAATCCAAAATATTATCAATTCTTGAATAAAGTAGATATATAATATAGTTAAAAGGAACATGATTTAGGGATAGCAAAAGTTTGATGGATGTACAATCCTCATCCTAAAGTTTGTTTGATAGCGTACTAAGAAATTACTAGAATAATGCTAAATAAAAAGAAAAAAATATATTATAGACATGCAAGTAATAACATCTGCATGATAGGCAGTCAAATAAGAATATTCGAGAATAATAAGAAAAAAAAGATCCAAGCAATTAGCAAGTAGTATTCGTAAAACGCAGTGTTGGACAATCAACCATTATTGGAGCAACAACGTCAATTATGTCATAAGGAGTCCATGAAAGCAAGTAGCTCAGTAGTAGTACAAATGAGATATGCTTGCCATGCTTGCTATGTTTGCTAATGATCCATGTTTAGAACAATAATTTTACTGGTTATTTGATTACTGCCAACTCTCAAACATTTGTCACCATTATTACTATACATTACATTATCGGTAGTCACACACATATTTATTGTAACGGAATTAAATAAAATAATTCTAATCAAATAACCAGTCATATGGACTTTCGCAATGTAATACCCACTTCAGTAAGATATTTACAATATTTTTACCTATAGAGTTGTTTCATTCGACACCCGTCTTGAAATATCAAATTGTCAATATCGAAAAGCAGACAATACTAAGGCTTATTCATAGCTTATGTGATAAAACCCATAATCCATTATGGTACCACTATCAAAGCGTCGAAGTATAATACGAGTAAGATGATCGATGTCACCATTATAGGCCAAATGTTTGCCGGCACCAAACATGTGAGAGAAAAAGCGTCCTATAGGGTAATGAGTTATATGGGGGTACATGTCGAGATAATGATTTAGAGCAAATGGGATTTGTTACAGTTGTAAAAAGGATTCGATTTAGGATTTTGTTGCACAAATAAGATCTGTTTCAATCCGGACAAATATATATCGACAAAGTGAACGTTGATAAAAAAGATAAATATCAAAATTGGTGCAAAACTAGCGAAGATATCATGTAACAACTACTGGGTTCGTTGTCATAGCTACGCTAAGGTGAAACCTAATACTAGTCATATTCACCATCATCATATCAGCTTTTAATTGTCCACTGCCTCGCCCTTGAGGGGTTTTGTCAGTAGTTTCCACGCTTGGCAGGCGGGTTGGTAACCGCAGTTTAAGCTTTACAGATGTTTTAAGAGCGATGCTGCTGCCTATCTCTCGTCCTCGCTTCTTAAATATAAAACATTTAAATAAATGAAAAAAATACTATCAAAATAACTTCATATAAAGAAAATATTATATTACATAAAAAAATAGTGTAACAAAAAGGCGGTAGAATTTATTCAGAAGTTTCTATATAAAATGATAACGAACTAACCGTAAGCTGTTTACATTTTACCTTAATTTTAAATAATCACAGCAGTGGAATTTCGTTTATGAAAAACAGCTTAAAATTCAAGCAAAACCTACACTATAGAATAAACCAATAACAAAATTGCTGCGAGGTTTTATGAAACCTGAAACGAATATGAATTATAAATCTCCTTGGCGTACCCACTCTGTTATATTTTTCACTGTAGCTAAAACGTCTAGTTAAAGCAAACGCTTATGAAAAATATTACCTTTGGTTGATTTAGTTTTCAGTTATTTTTCTCTCTTTTGTTATTCTACGCAAGTTTACATTCTGTTATTTACGCATTACGCACTGGCGGTGCCTGCTAATAGCTATT